TTGTTACTTCTCCAGTGATCATTACAATTCATATCATGAATATATTGCTCTGCATGTCTAAACATCTCTGAGAAACATGTAGGGAATTAAAACAATGTGAAAACCTGGCTGGCAATGAACAGATGTTGATATTCACGGTGTATAGAAAGGTTTTCTTAAAAACAAAATAATTGATTTGAAATGTACTTCTATATATGAGAACGCATTCTTGACAATTTGTCATAATATATGAAATATATAATAAACTAATGTCAACATATTCGCAATTTATTATACAACATAAATATAATAAAACACATGCATACTGGTAATCTTGGCTAACAATGCAAGAGTTGCTTCCCTTACTTTCATCATCACATTCTCATTTTTCCACTCCTACATTTCCACTCACACTTTAACAGTTACATCCAAGCCAAGATTTTGTTACAGTTCCAGAGGTGTGTGCATATTGTCAGTAATTTTCACAGACGATTGAAGAAACTGTCCAGTTTGCATTATCATTTTTGATATCACAGTTAGGCCAGTTATTACAAACTTGTGTAAGTCAGTGCTTCCGACACATCTGTCTTAAGCCGCCTACAGCTCTTGATTTGATCCCAGATCATTAAATATTTTGACAAATAACTCAAATGTTCAGTAATATTTTTTTCATTTCTTTAGACGATTTTTCACAAACAATTTAATATCCTAACTACATAAGTAAATGCCTCATTGTCAATGATTGAATGATATTTTGATTTCTGTGACTTAGAACTGTTGGGTATATCTATCTAGGATGCCTCTCCCTCTGCTGGAGCCTCTCCTTCCTCCTCCTTCCCTTGCTCAGCTTCCTCCTGTAGTCAGAAAAAATATGTTTACATAATTAAAACCCACTCATATGCAACATCCATCGTACTTAGTTTATAAACCTGATCACATGCTTAATGCAGCCAACACTTTTGAAAATGACATAGGCCTTAACCTGAAGAAATTTAAGTTTTTAAATCAATTGACATTCTAACATCCAACATTTTTTTGACTGGGCTGTATTTTAATAATTGTTATAAAAGCCCAGTCTACAAGTGTCTGAGACTCAGTACATCAAATATGTATGTACCTCTTTTGGTGCTTCCACTGTCGTCTCTTCCGTTGTTTTCTCTGCCTCTCCTTCTGCAGGTGTCTCTGTTGCTTCGCTTGGTTTGTCAGCCTCCTCTGTTGCCTCGGGTGCAGTCTCTTCCTGGGTTGCGGCCACTGAAGGTTTGATCTCATCCTCTGTGGGTTCCTGTGCCTCCATTACTGGGGGCAACTTCGTTGGTGATGAACTCTCCTTCTTAGCACGCTCCTCCTCTGCCTATAAAGGGAAACAACTCAAATATCAATAAAACGTTGTTGATTACATTCATTAAGTCATGAAGTTAAACCTGTCCAATGATACTCTATAAATTAAAGAGATCACCTATAGATGTTAAAAGACCACCTGTCTAACTCCCATTGCAGTTAGTTTCATGTTAACTAAACTTGTAGAATGACAGTTCCTGCATATAGAGTCCACTTCACTAAAGGCATTTACTGAGTATAGGTTTGACATTACCACTACCAGAAGAAGAAAATAATGTAATAAACTACATCTCTGGTTAACCTTTTATCTGAATGATTGTACCAGATGGGGTGTCATGCTACTGTGTTCAGGTTATGACATCGCCGTGAGATGGAATTTTAAAGTGGTCTCTGACTGGCCGAGTCTGGCCCTGTCATCCACAGACACTGTTGTCATATAAATAAAAGTGACCTAATCTGTTGCAAAGATATAAAATCCTATACAAACATATATTGTTCCTAATTGCTTTTGGTGGAGTCTTACCTTTCTCCTTTCCTCATCTTCTTCTGCTATTTTCATAGCTTCTTCTTTCCTTCTTGCTTGTGTTTCTTTCTCTTTTTCAAAGTTGTCTTGTTCTTGAATGAGCATCTTCTTTTCATTCTCTTTCTGAAAAATGTTTATAGAAATACATAACAAGTATGTTTTTTTTCTTTTAAATGTCTGCGATTGTTATTACCACAATTAAGTAATTTCTTACTTTAATTGAATCACAATAACAAATTGAAAATCAAAGTCATATAAAAATATATGACAACTCAAAATAAGATTGACAATGCATCTTAAAACAAATCTTCCCACTGTTATATTATTCAAATATCTGCACATTTTAATGCATGTATAAACATTTGATGTAACTGTACCCAAAATGAATCATCTATCATCATTCTTGCTATTTTGTCCTTTTATTTCCCGATATATAAAATATACAATATTAAAGATGTTTTTCAACCAGAGAATTATCTCCCTTGTCAGCACAGAGGTAGTAGTTTTGTTGCTTGTTTTTATTTGCCCATGTTTAAATAATCTTTACCTAATACCATATTAATCTGAAAGCAAAGTAACTATGTCACAGTTGAAAGTGTAATTCAGAACTCATAATGCATAAAATTCACATAATACATGTTCTTAACATGTTGTCCGTATGCTGACATTTGTGAATCTGTGAGTAGTGTTCGACCGTATAATTGGTTTATATTGGTAGATAGTTTTTTTTAATATGGACAGCATACTGATGTGTAAGAATAAAGATCATGATGTAATTTCTGAAATTGAATAATTTTGTTTAGCATAAATATCATTAATATCATCTACCTTAACTAGAATTTGTTTGTAAACTCACATACTTGGTTATCTCGTATCGTGCAAAACTAAGAAAGTTCAGGGATCATTTGAGAATTAGACTTTAAAAAAACTGAAATGGCTGATGATTGTAATAATTTAACCATCCAGTCTTGCAGAGNAAAAATATAATTTGTATTTATTATAATCAAATCAGGGGCAACCAAATGTTTCACAAAAATACATCAATATTTGACATCATTTGACAGTGACTGGTAAACTACTACCTACCAACTAACCACCAGGACAACACTAGAATCATTACCTGGTCTTTATACTGTTCATTTTCTTTCATCTTGTACAGCCATTGTGCAATGTATTCTACTGGATCCCTTGGCCTCTTTTCTGCTACTTCTGCCAAGCAGGCTGCAAGGCAAGACCCCAACTGTTTCTTCAGGTAAGCAGAATCCATTTTAGCACCTGTGGTGTGGAAAAAAAATCAATGTTATTGTTAAATAACTAACAAGAACTGTTATTACTACAATAGCAATGAAATCCAAGTTGTAATTTCTATTATGATCAATATAACGTTAAGTGTATCAGAGTGGAGAGTCGGTAAACATGATCACCTTACATTAGGAACTTTCAATTACAACACTGGGAAGGGGTGGTCACAGGTGATAGACAAAAGCATATGCATGATATGCTATTGAAACTACAAAATATGTACTGTACAACACAGCGTACAAAATGTCCTCAGTAGCCGTGATCGCTAACACGCACAGTCATTGTACTACTGTGCGCTATCATCAAGCGTGAGCTTCAGACCACTCGCTCTCCCAAGAAAATCGGTTCGATCCCCAGCGGTGGTGGAAATAAGAGAGTGATGTCTGATAGGGTTAGTTGTTATCCCTCCGATGGCATGGTGGTTTTCCCCCCGTGGGTTTTCCTCCACCACGAAAACACCATTTGTTCCCTTAGCGGCGTCGTAATAAAAGCTCTACAGAGCTTATGTTTGTTGTTGACAATTGTACACGACGTTAAATAAAGATTATTATTTCATTATTATTTATGTCCACCTACATTAGATCATTAGATAGGGCGGGGCGCGCTTAAAATGTCAATTGAACAGTTGAAAAGAGATAATCTATAGTTTATAACTTGTTTGACATCAAATGTACTTATAGATCGTCATTTTCGTTTGGTTGTTGATACTGCTATCTAAATGTACGCGTACAATCTACTGTACAGTAGTCCATATAACGTGGTATTATTACGAACAGGCCAGTTAGCTTCCTTCGCGACCGTCGCAATAGTGTGTCATTATTTCTGATAATTCGTGTTAAATGATTGTAATACTATATCAAATGTATATTTGGGACGGATATTCTTCATTTCATTATCCATCTACTATTAATTCACATCAAATATGTTTGTTTATGATTTCAGGCAATGCAAACGGTTCTTACCAACTTCTGTTTCACCTCTTGTTCCTATGCAGCCTCGTTTTAGAATGACAACTTCCGGTATTTCCTTAGTTACCCTTGACAATGGCGTCTCGTTGCTAGCGAGAGGTAATCAGGCGTGGACTCAACGTCGACAGATCTGCTAAGGAGATCTGAGTGGGCATTTAACTATTAACTGATCGGAGGAAGTTGCTCATCTAAAATCACCGGTAGCAAAATGGCTACTAAAGTGTCGTGTGCTGACAATCAAGATCAAAGAGACATTTACAATATCATTGATAGTAATAAGCCATGGACCGGAAGAATGCTTTTTACAGGTAATAAATGTTGATTTATCTATTTACTTACACTTGATAAGTCAATATATGATACAAAACTTTATATACATCCGTGAGCCACAAGTTTCATCCAGAGCATATACAGTTAAAAATATAGATCTATATCATATACGTTAGTATAATGTTGAACTGTTTAGGCTAGGAATAGTATATAGATTTCGTTGTGATATTGTTAGAAAACTCCAGTGTGCTAGTGTTAGTTTAAATAAATACACCAACCTCAAGTAAAAGGACGGTCCAATACACATTTCGTGAACATTTTGTAAAGGCTGGTATTTACACTGGCGGGTAGTTATCAGTGTGTATTTATTTACACAGGGTGTTAAAACTAGACGGAGAGTCAAAATTTAAATAGTCTAATAGTTTAATATCAAGAGAACTTATAGCTATACGTATATCGGCAAATAAAACCTATTAGACACCATATAAACATGTAAGACTTAACTTAGATCTGCTATGATTACGTACTTCTAGTTCCATTTAGTTAGACCGTGCTTTATAGGTATATTGTTTAAAAATCCATTGTTATTCTGAACAGATAAGGCAAACTGTATTTTTTATTTCATTTCAAGATTTCTTATAGGTCTAGAATACATAATTATAAGACTGATTCATTATTACAGAAACAACGCAACCGTTACGTAATGCACACGAGTCACGGAAATAAACATGATATAGCATTTTTTTAAACATATTTAAAAAATCTAGACCTATATTGAAACACATTACTAAAATAAGCCGCTACATATACAATGCATGAAATTAACAGCAATATAAAATCAGCATGCGTCAATACTCTTTCGAAGTTATTTCGGATTAATATTCGGCCGGATTACCCAGTACCAGACGAGGTTTGGGGTAAGATATTAATAAAAAAGAAAAAACATGACATTTTCTGAAATATATCGTTCATTTAAAACATCATTTGCCGACGGTTTTAGCACGAATTGGTGATGCGATCAGACGCGTTTATCCCACTAGAAAACTCAGTGGCGGTTAGTTTACTGTAGCAATAATGATTGACAATCAATGAAATGATCACTAAAGCGGTACAAACTGATAAATATTAATGAACAGAATAGAATAAAGGTATAGTTCTGCTAAATATTAATGGTTTCCCGGCGCCAGCTTATCGAATATACGCAGCTTCTAACTCGGAACGTAATTTTTCAAACAATTCAGTTAATGCACGTACATATATCTTGGATGTGTTTGCACAGACATGTCTGCGCTAAAAAAAATAACACAATCGATAAAATCATACATTGGTGTACTAACACAGTCTACCATATGTAGGTATGTGAAATATGGATGTTCTACCGGAGGGTTTAGAATTTGGGCCAGAACCGAGGTTTTGTCGAACAACACTTGAACACTCAGTCAGTCAAACGACGTTTTAACGGGCTTTCGATTGTGACGACATAATATAACTCCGTCATCTGATTGTGACTTCATAATGAGAAAGGTCCCCGAGTGATTCTTCAGTCAAAACAATTGTAAAACGTCACGTCAACAATACAATCATGTCAACAATGAATTAACGTCATGTCAACTATGCACTGAATTTGTAACGTCTAGGGTCAAAGGGTTAAACAAATATAGTCATCCCCTTTAGGTAGGAGAAGATAAACTCTGGTTTGTTACACACGTGTTGAAAAGCATCTGTAAGGATTACACCCGTTGTTGTATAATAATACATCTGTTAAGTATCATATACGTGCACACTTTTCAATAACACAGTGCTAACTTGATGTGAGTCATTAGCTTACTGAGCCACTGATCACAAGTTTTTAAAATCTTCTTTGTTTTGAGGAGCACCATGTATTTCGATTACCATAAAGCTTATCCGTTTTCCAATAGTGGGCGAGCTTGTACAAATTCAACCGCTCTAAGGGTTTTCCTTTTCAAAATATGCTTTAATTTTCTTTTGGTTGAGGTGTTTGTGTGTACAAGCTTGCATTTGAGATCAGTGCCTGCTATAAGAACTGAAGTTCAATAGCCATGTTTATCACCGTAATTTAGGTTGTTCCATATCCTACATTTTGATTTGTTCCATCTCGTGCAAGAGTTGAATTATCGACATAGGACCTTATAAAATGTAATAAGGTATTAAAGATGTTGCATGCTTTGGTAGTTAGGAAATAAAAGTCGCCCAAGTACCAGCGTTTGTAATCACACGCTTTGATAATAACCTCTGAAGACGTCATGCTTTTCATTCTTTGTTTTGGATTTAACTTACTTACAATACCGAGGTCATATGAAGAGAGGTATCTAAGCGGACAAAAGGGTAGCAGGTGTATTTTGGTTTCTCAAAGCCTCCTTAGCAAAAGACAGAAAAATAAAATAAAATGAATGAATAAACGAATGACTAAATGAAGAATGAATCAATGAATCAATCGATGAATAAACGAATAAATAAATCAATGACACAGAGATTCAACGGTGCAGTCCCATACTAGTCGATGCTTACATTAACATGTAGTTGGGTACAGCAGGTCTGTTCTTCCCTCGAACCTATACGCTTTTCATGACATTAATATATTGTCCTCTATACTTGTGGTAGTGTATATTTGACACAGCCATGGAAACACGTGGTACGCTTTGTTATATAATGATGCTTTAACACAAACTTTCATTTACTTGCATTAGATAGTGTTTGACTTACATTCTGTATGTAACATGTAATGACCCGACCTTTGACTCGATCTTCTGACCCAATGTATTGGCTCATTGCGTATGTTATAACAATTTATGGTGTGTGGTACATGTATAATAACTTAAACGTTATAGTGTGTGGTATAATAACGTAAACTTTATGGACGATAACAAGTATTACACTTTCCTACAGGTCCCGATGCTAACAGGGACCACAGAGTGACGGTAGATCAGGAACACCGACACATTGGTATCGGGACCATGTCGGGCGAGGGCACGGGTGAGGCGGATTACATTTGGAGGGCGGGTGCTCGGACTCCCCATCCCAGACCCCGCTCACGGATGGTGGGGGAGGTGGGCTGGGGTGTGCCCGGTATGACGGACTGGAAGATGCCTCGGTCCGGTAGACAGGTCGTGGTACGTATCCGTGGACTCGAACCTCGTTCATCAGAAATGGTGGACGAGGGCTGATGTGGGGATAATGATTGATGGGAGTGGTTTTCTGTGTAAAACATATCTATTTCACCCCATATATAAAATCTCAGATTTGTTAAAAAAATATTTGGCCGAAATAACAGGAACAGGAAGATGGTGTGTTAATGTTCATTTGTTCTTGAACGTTTTGTTCATTGGTAACATCTTCGCTTGTTCTTGTAACATTTGTTAAGGAGTAACGTCTCCGCTTGTGCATGTACGTTTTGTTCAGTGGTAACATCTTCGCTTGTTCTTATACGTTTATTTTCAGTGGTAGAATATAACATCTTCGCTGGTTCTTGTACGTTTTTTTCAGTGGTAACATCTTCGCTTGTTTTTGTAAGATTTGTTGAGGAGTAACGTCTCCGCTTGTGCATGTACGTTTTGTTCAGTGGTAACATCTTCGCTTGTTCTGATAAGTTTTGTTAAGTGGTAACATCTTCGCTTGTTCTTGTACCGTTTATTTTCAGTGGTAGAATATAACATCTTCACTTGTTCTTGTACGTTTTTTTCAGTGGTAACATCTTCGCAACAGCTATATATAAGGTTGCTAAGGAGACACCGCTGAATATGCTGTGTAGGAATGAAAGAAAGAGTAATCATATCAGGTTTTGAAATTTTGTTTTGCAGTTGGGAGAATTTAGGCAGGAGTGTGAAGATCGTTATTCTCATCATTATCAAAACCCATGGTAAGTCGTGTGATAGCATAAATATCGTCAAAATTGTATATATGTATAATTGAATAAGTGCAGTGTTCAGGTGGGAAAAGGGTGTCAGATATGTTGTCTTAAAAATATTTAAAAAAAAATGGAAAATACACGGAATTAAATAAAAAAATAAAAAACACTCACAGACTTCGGGGGTTCATGAAGCCTGGCCATCCCCTTTGACCCGCCATTGGTGTATGGAAAAGAACTGTTAAATCGTTCAATACATTTTCCGATAAAATGTATGCATGTATTGATTAGACTAGACCGTGTACTTGTTGTACCCCATTAAACTTACTTACATCTACCCATGGAAAGTTATCCGCGGGTACGCACTAAAGAAAGGCACAGAAGTTCCCATTGTGTAACATAATTCGTCCCCAGTTTAAGATCGGTATTTAATCAAATGATTTTGATAATGGAAGTCCACAAGGAATGTTTATCACTTGATACACAAATGAAATTTCATGTCAGAGTGAGTAATCAATATATGTTTGTATGTATTCCACGCTACTTGTTATTGGTGTGATATATATATATATATATATATATATATATAGCATGCTTATTCTACCGCTATAAAGGTACCCAGGACCAAGAGATGACGTCACACCGGGGTCGGACGCCTCTTTGGTGATGAACGTATACAGACCAAGAACTACCCCAGGGAACACTCGCGCAGGTAGTAGTCGACCACGCCCATTAAATAGCCCGCACAGACAGACACCGGCTGCGACAACAGTAAACGATGGGCGGGCATCATACAATATACTTAAGGTTTCCCATACAGGTATCGAACCGTTACTTTTGAGTAGATGAAGAGTTCCTGTAGTTCACTCCTCCGCCTGTAGATACTGTTGCCGGCTGGTTCCGGGTACTGGGTGTCCGGAGTTATATTTTTTTCTGTCTAGCCTACTTTTTACTTCCGTTTATGCAACTTATTACCTCCGGTAATTTTTTTACTTATTACTTTTCTTTATCTCGCTTTTATTACTTCCGTCTATCCCACTTACCAATTTCTATCTATCCAACTTTTTACTTAAGTCTGTTCCAGTTATTACTTCAGTCTGTCCAAGAAGGTGATCATCTGACTTAACCTAGTAGTTGATACCCAACACCTAACAGGGAATAAAGGGGTGGCCCCACCCTTGATATTTAAATCATGTGTTGGTATGGAATTTCAGCCTATGTTTTGAACTGTATTCTACGTGGATGTAGCAAGAGCTGCATTATTGGAATTAATAAAAGGATATGATAGATAGTTGTATCTGGGCTATACTAACCAACCAGTCAATGTAGACTGTGACAGTTCCCTCCAGATGTAGTGGGATGGCCTTCCCAAAACGTTGGTTTCTGCTGGATGCTCTGGTAATAATATCCTTGGTAGTGGACTATTCAAATCTCCGTAGGTGTGTGTTAGCGCACTAATTAAGCTTTGATGAAGACGGTGCAGTATATCAGATCATGATATGTATGCTTAAGATTCTTTGTATAGTAACAGTCCATTGCAGAAACATGACATAATTGTATTCTTGGAAGTTTTTCGGAGAAGGATTGATTTAATTGGAAAAAATGTATATTATTAACTACTGGTGAACTTTGGAAGAGGATATTTGTGTTTGTGTTTGGTACCGATGTCATGTGTAACGATTTATCAACTTGGTTTTTAGGGAACTTGGAAAGCCAACAAATTAGCTCGGAACAGGATACGACACTCACAGAGTAAAAGTGACCAGTGGTCAGTAGAGGTAAGTATCACGTGATAGCCGGTGTAACATTGTTTTAATGTCACAGTATAGCAGTGAGATACATGATCTTGTCAAATCAGAGACTATTTCTTATATTGCAACTAAGTGTCCATGGCTCCAATCTACAGGACATTAAAGTAGAATATTAATGATTGTCTGTTTTTACAGTCTAGATCCACTCGAAATGATTAAAATTGTTGATTGACCGAACACCAGAACCGGATTCAACTGAAAACATTGACCCATCATAGCAAGGACTCAACTGACAGTATTACCCCATCATAGCACGGACCCAACTGACAGTATTACCCCATCATAGCACGGACTCAACTGACAGTATTGTCCCATCATAGCACGGACTCAACTGACAGTATTGTCACATCATAGCACGGATTCAACTGACAACATTGACCCATCATAGCAAGGACTCAACTGACAGTATTGTCCAATCATAGCACGGACTCAACTGACAACATTTACCCATCATATTACCCCATCATAGCACGGACCCAACTGACAGTATCACCCCATCATAGCACGGACTCACCTGACAGTATTACCCCATCATAGCACGGACTCAACTGACAGTTTTGCCCCATCATAGCACGGATTCAACTGATAGGATTACCCCATCATAGCACGGACTCAACTGACAGTATTGCCCCATCATAGCACGGAATCAACTGACAGTATTGCCCCATCATAGCACGGACTACGGACCCAACTGACAGTATTACCCCATCATAGCACGGACTCAACTGACAACATTTACCCATCATATTACCCCATCATAGCACGGACCCAACTGACAGTATCACCCCATCATAGCACGGACTCACCTGACAGTATTACCCCATCATAGCACGGACTCACCTGACAGTATTACCCCATCATAGCACGGACTCACCTGACAGTATTACCCCATCATAGCACGGACTCAACTGCCAGTATTACCCTATCATAGCACGGACTCAACTGACAGTATTACACCATCATAGCACGGACTCAACTGACAGTATTACCCCATCAAAGCACGGACTCAACTGACAGTATTACCCCATCATAGCTCGGACTCAACTGACAGTATTACCCTATCATAGCACGGACTCAACTGACAATATTGTCCCATCATAGCACGGACTCAACTGACAGTATTGTTCAATCATAGCACGGACTCAACTGACAACATTTACCCATCATAGCACGGACTCACCAGACAGTATTGTCCCATCATAGCACGGACTCAACTGACAGTATTACCCCATCATAGCACGGACTCAACTGACAGTATTACCC